GGGGGGGGGGTGAAGGGAGTACAATTCAAGGAGGGCTACGGGTGGAAAAAAAGAAAATACGCAAACTACAAGATAGGGGGTTAATTGGGGTCTCGACATTTCTGGAAATGAAAGAGAAGTGAAAGTGTGTGCCAAATTTGACTTATTTGCTCACATAATTGGTAGTAATCCACTTTTGGCTAAAACAAAAATAATGCATTACAAGCGATCATGTAATAATGTAATTCTTGGATGAATGGTTATACCACATTTGGACTGGCATCAATAATTCTTTATGTCTACTTAGATAACTGTTAGTAATACATTTATATTTCAACTTGACAATAATTACTAAAGTAAAAGGGAATTCCGGTTTTAAAATCGAAACTGTTAAGCAAATTGAATCTATCATTGATTCATCTCTTTCTTAGTGACCTTCGTGCCGTGGTTGCTAAGACTACGGCATTGAAACTATGAATTTCGCTTCAATTTGAAGGATTGTGACAATTCGGATGATATCATAACTAAACGAATTCATCACGTATCGACAGGTTGAAAATTTTAAATTTAAGTAGGTTTTCCATCGTAGAGGCCAAACACAATAAATTGGTATAACTTAAGAATTTTTTTCTAAAGCATTCATTATTAGTAAGATCCATGAATGAAGTAATTATTCATTGGACGAATATATGACTTTGACTATTTACAATGTCGATACGTTTAAATAATTACCCAGCAGTGGGCACGTGAATATTAAAGTTTAACTATAAAGTTTAATCCTTTTTTCAAACTACACTTTGAGACAATTTAAGGCTTATTTCATAGAGTACGGTGAGAAGTAGTTGGAAAAATTTTATTAAATAATGACTTTATTTTAGAAAGCAATCACCGCAATTATTGGTCATTACCTTTTTACCAATGATGCGCTGAAAAATAAAGAATCGAATTAATTCTAAAAAAGTCTAGGCTGTTTTGTATGTTTCTATGGTCGGCACACAATGTTGAAATGTTGAAATTGCATGTGAAAATCACCGTTAATGCGCAAAATGTTATGACTAAAGGATTAGTAACAAGCAGGTCTTTAAGATTTTAGGTGTAATGTAGCTCATAAGAAAAATACCTTTCTTCCCTATAACATAAAAACAAATTGGTTAGAAGTATGAATTACTATTACAATTGCATGGTAAATCAATTAGCGTCCATGCCTAATTTTTAAAATACTAATCTATCGTGATATTTCACTAGATATGATTCTCAAAATTAGTTTAAGCTAGCTCCATTTGACTGGTGCTTACATGAAAATTCTATACAAAATTTAGCGTTTAATTAGGCCATAACGTTATCAATGAGTCAAGTCCAATTTCAGCAAATTTGCATGCACCGACATGCACATCCATAGAAATAAGTGAGGACTTTAAAATGATATCTGATAAACTGCCACTTTTAAAATGCAAACCATCAATTATAGTCTTAGTATTTTCAGCTGTATTGAAAATACTAGAATTTTGGATTTCAGAAGGACAATAAATTAGTTTGTTCGATTAAGCGTACAAATTTAAAAAAAAGTTTTTGAAAGTGACGTTGAAGTAGTAAAGAGCCTTACTTCACGAGATTCGTAGGAGCGGATTGTGACATATTAACTTAATAGTTACCCCGGTTACAAAAACTCCTACTTGAAGAATATTTCCCAGAATCTCAACCGATTTTTCCCACTCTAATGTTTTGTTTGTCGCTAAATTTCGTTATTTCCATTCCAATTGATAGCATCTTGCAATGAATTTAGATATCATTAAATACCGAACATCTCGTAATTTTAACGTACCAGCGAGGGAATGGGAGGTGACATTTTAAAGCTAGTAGAGCTTCGCAAGCTGTTTCCACGTGGTTCACAAAAAAATGTCAAAAAGCCCAGACCTAGTTCCCTTAATTATGACCTTCAAAGCTTGAGAATAAATGTCATAGTATGAAAATTAGGTTAAAATTTGAACCTATGCATCGTTTTGGCCATTTGCCATTGTTTGCTTTAATAATTGAGCATATGTTATAAACCCAATAGCAATATTCTAAACTTGTGACGCAGATAACTCAAGTAATAGAAAAATTATAATTCAAAGGTCTCGTAACCGACCGCAAGGAAGCAATGCCAAGTATTTAATATTAATATAATGGCTGTGAGACTAGAGTTTAAGCGAAAGATTTTTTTCGAAAATCAAAACCTCAACTCTGGATGACTAGCATATACCTAAAGGTGCATGAATACCAAATACGCCTTTATAGGAGGTAGCAAGTTGGGGTTTATTAAAGTCATGCCTATACTTTTTCAAATTCGAAAATTCAACCATGGAAATTTTTATTTCCCAGACCCAAGAGCATTATCTTATGGGAATATATGATAGCAAAAATTTCGCAGCTTAATTAAAAGAGAAATTCACGAAGAAATTAATGCACTTTTTTGAAAAACGAGGCACAATTGAAGGTAGAGTAACATTTACAAAATTAGTCTGAATTTTAAAATTAGTGAAAGATCTGTTATCGGCTAACTGATAACAAAGTTAAACAGGGTGTACCTCTGAAAAAGTCAATAAAATCAGAAAGGATTCCTTCTCTAACTCCATTCGATCAGTTACAGTCGTAGTTATATCAAATTATTCATTAAATAACTATTTAATTTAACGATTTTATCTATTTACTGATGACAACTTAATATATCGTTGACCTGCTCAAAGGTAGAGACAATTAGCCAGTTGAGCAAATATCACGTTTGAGACATTGTCAAGCACTTGAGGCATAAGTACTCTGAACGGATTAGTTTAAGATAGTCAAAAAGATATTTTTTGTAAAATCTTCTAATTGTTTCTTCATAAAGGTGGCTACAGTATGAAATGTCTATCTTACGACCGAATAGTTTGTTCTAAGTGTCGTGTAAATTCATGCCTAATGAAAACTTTAAAAGTCCATAGTGCTTTGCCATTCCGTCTTCTCAGCATGTGGGGCTTACCTTAAGTACAAAATGGCAAATATGTGAAAATATTTGCACTTTTTAATAGAAAATGAAAAGCCTGGTTTATTATCACGAAGCATTCTAATTACAGTAAGCGCTAGATTCATTAAAAAGTTCAAGCCTTTCCACACACACTATTACAAAAGACCATTATCCTCTCTAATCGATTATCCATAACTAACTCTGCAAAATAAGTAGAAATTAATGGAAAACTAAAAATTAGTATAAATATGATAAAAATTAGTCTAAACATGCGATCTCAGAGAATTTTCAACTTCTTAAATTATTAGTGGTGTATCAGACTTTTAGAATCTATACATGGTAACACTACCAATTGATAAGCATATGCACTCCATTTACAAACTTCTTCTCCATTGTCCTATTTTCTTCCAGTACAGCTCCCCCCTCCCACCCCAGTTAACGGAAAAAGCAGCATTAATTGGCAATTTAGTGCAAACATTATTTAAATTAGACTAATATATAATACCCTTTAACTGTTCAAACACCAATTAATGAGCAAATAGATCGTAATCAAGCCAAAGCCTCTACTGATTCAAAACCAAATGCACTCTCGTGCATTATGTTGAAAAGTCACATCTAAAATTTTCGGGCTTTTAGACGAGCCATAGAATTTAATGTCTTCGGAAACTCAATTTTATGTCGAATTCAGCATTGAAAAGCCATTTAGTATCCAAGTAAATTGTTTAAATTGAGGTCACGAAGACAGTTTAAACAAAGCTTTTCCTAAGGAGATAACTACTTCAAACATATCTAAGTAATAGAATTTGTTATTAGTGAAATTCAGTAAATCGCAGGTGAATGCACATAAACAGGAAGGACTAGGATTTTTGCGTAGAGATCATTGCGTTAAAACAGTAATACGATCCCAGTTACTTCGATCGCCCTAATATTAAACACTTTAAAGATTAATAGAACCGGGTGAAATTTCCCTTAAAATAGTGTTAATATGCACTTTGAGCTAGCTGAGGACAAGAATAAGCAAAAATCATATGGTTTATCTGTCAACGCTCCTTGTGGTGTATTGATATGAGTTCCAATCTTTCCAAGACTGTTGTGTCTCAACAACTTCAGCTCGAATGTAATTCTCATTTTTTTCATTTTCTGAAACTTTTCTAAATAATTTTCCATCCAACCATGCCCTAACACTATCTTTCAATTGATTATGCTTTAATCACACACCTCGGATTTCACTTAACCAGACACAAACGTTTTGGGTGTATTTGCTGCTTATAATCTTAATGATAGTCTAGTTCCGATGCGGATGCTGATAAGTACGACAGACAATGACGCAAATGGTACAGGATTAGTAAAAATGGTACTCTATTGCAAAATTATCAGAGACTTACAAGTCAAGTTCCTTCTGCCTTTAAGCGAACTGTTGCTTGAGTAGGAACTAGAGGTGTAAGATGACGAAGACGAGCAACTGCAACTACAACTACTGGAGCAGGAGTACTGATAGTGTTGACAAGAGCAGGAATCATCACAAGAACTGTCTGAGTAATTCGAGCAGGAGTCGGAACTGTAACATGAGCTGCTGTAACCGCTGCAACAGCTGCTCACTTCGAATAAAAATAAAATAATGGTATTTTCACGCATATTTCGCATTCCTAAAACCTACAAGAGCTTTATTCTCTTTATAAAATACATTTCATCTTGTAATGTCTAGTCACACCTTCTTAGAGAAGGAATATATATATCTGTCCAAAAAATATGGTCAAACACACGATAGGCAGAAAGTGAATATTTGACATATTATCCGGATGCATAGTTGGTAAGCGAAACGGTGAAAGAACAACCATCCAAACGGGAAAATTTAAAAGTTAAAAAGAATGTTAACTTGAAGAGGATGTAATTTCAAATATTTGGAAAGTTCGTTCTTAAAGTATGGAGCCTTTGATTGTGGTGCACTAGCAGAGAATTTCTCAGTCTATCTGAGATTAATGTTCAGAGTAGCATTTGATACGTTTAATCATTCTTCATACTTGGAAAGAAACGTCCTTCCCTCTATTCTTCAGATGTTCCCACTACTGCTTAAATGGACAAGCAGAATTTGAAATAAAATAACGCCTGAAAACTCTGTTAGAAGCTAGGTGTAGTTGAACTTCGAAATGATTGTCAAGTCTTAGCCAAGGGCCGACTTTAGTGGCAACGGCTCAGATTATGAAAGCCATGCAACCCAATGTCCATTTCGTACGATTCCTAAATAAATACTTTCATTATTATTAACATCTAGCAAATATGATATATGAGATCAAATTCCGGAATAAGACCTGACATAAAAAGCTCTCTGTTGGTATATTAAAACTTCAAATCAATTAAACTTCAATTAATATTACAATTTAGTAATGTCAAGTCAAATTTAATCATGTGACATTCATAAACTGTCATCAAAAATAATGATAAAATTTGCGGTGCATTAGGATATTGTGAAAGATCATTCGAGTTGTCATTACATAGAATGCATTAATACAAATTAATTAGATAATGCCTCATCTTTGAGTGCAAGATTCAAATAGCTAATTAATTAGTTAATTGCGTGTGAGTATAATTGCTATTGTGTTTTCAAAGTGAATTCGATGACTCCTCTAACTTAGACTTTGGGCTTTTGAGTGCAAATTTTTATGTCAATATTGGGTAAAATATTAATTTCATATTTAGTTTACCAAATAATCATATTTATATTGAGGTTATTTAATAAATTTAATAAAACAATTTAAAAAATGTAAGACTTGAAAGGGGATGTATTGTTACTCTAGCTAGCTCAGTTGTTGATTTATTCCAAATATTAGAAATATTTTTCGGTATTTTACAGATTAATTACTTAATACAACCCTATTATCAGATAAATATAATGATTAATATTAATACACTGTGAAGGGAAAATAGTCAGTTATAACACGACAGAAGCACATTAGAGCATTGTTTTAAAATACTTGATTGTTAAAAGCCCAAAGGCCTTAGAAGAACGTTTGCCACACATATTATTGTCCTCATAAGTAAGAAATCAAACCAGGTAGCAAAGAAGTAAAGTTTTGACTTCTATGGATAAATCATTGTGTCTTTATGTCTAAGCGTTCGTTTGTCTGTAAATAACAAAGCATGCTCTCTATATAAGCAAAATGAATGTTATATTGCGATTAGAAAGAAATGAGAGAAAGTATGGCCTCAATTCACTTACTTCGTCCCGCATATCTTCTTTTGGAGGCTAAAACAAGGAAACATCAGGGATTAGTTTAACTTTCAAAGAGCAATAAATTAGCGTCAATCCAGACGTTGGGTTATATTAAGGTTCTGAAGCAATTAAGTTTGTTAGCTGTATAGGCATTCCAGTTAATAAGTATCAAGAATTCACGCACATAGTCTGATAGAAGAATCGATTTCTGTCGAATTGGGAAAATTTTACTTGTTACAAGTTAATTTAACTATTTAACATCGCCACTCTGGCTAACGATCATCAATTAAACCAAAATATTTTAACTAAATTATACGAACTTATATGGTTCTCAGTAATAGGGCAGTTTGACTCAAGAGTTTTTAAATAGAAAATATTTATAATAAATACTAAGCGTTATATTATAATAATAGAAAACATCCTAATTCGTTTGCAAACTACAAAGGTAAAATGCAAGAAAGTGTATTCAATTTTAATTATGGCATTGCGAAAGTTTTGTTTAATACTTACCATCAACTGTTCGGTAGAGTATACGGTTAGGAATCATTTGTTGACACGCGGCTAAAATTATATTCCGTTTAGTTTATTCAATATTCCAAAAATTTCAAAATAACTACTCAATGAGTGCTAAAAACAGATTTTCTTTAAAGTATGGCTGCTTAACTTGGATGACAAAACATTAGCTTATACATGAAATGTTTGCCAACATCGAGGGACCTCTTTCTACTTACGCCTTGGAGTCAGATACTTTTTCCTAAGGTAATCAGAGGGAACATATTCACCGAGGAATTCTAAAAGTAGATTAAAAAAGACACTAAGCAAGGGCAAATTTCAAATACTAGAACAACTTTGTTACCATTTCCATATTTAAATATATATGTATACTATTATTTACACAGAAGCTTTTAAACTATAGTATAGTTAAAATAAATGTTTAAAGCAAAATAACAAACCTCCATTATGATGGTGTGACATTTTGTTCTTCCCAACGAAATCTGAGAAGCGCGAGAGGTTTCTCTCTGCTTTTTGTTGAAAGTTATTAACCTTCCAGACACTGTCATAAGTTCAACCAATTAAAACGCGTATACTTAAGAACCATGGTCTACTATGAAATTTAATTATCATTGCGAAAATTTCATTATAATCAAAAAATTAATTTCGTCTGAATAGTGTGCGTTTTCAATTAATATGACATTTATCAAATTAACATATTGAATTTATGGCAAGGTTGATTTTTTGTTTCAGTTGAAGATCAGAGACTTTGAACCAATCTAATTTAATCAATTTGTAGATTTGGCAAGTAGTTCAATGGTAGTAAAACTTATGTGTTTCTTTCCAAGAGCATTATTCATTATATAACTTTCACTAGGACCTTGAACAATCCAATCGATATATGCCCCCTTGTGATCTTCGTGTAAGTGGTTTTGTCCGAATTCACCTTTGTCCAGTGTAAACTTGGAGATATTTATTTATTCCAATTTTCAGGGGTTTTGATAGTTATCATTAGCCTTTTATTTGACTTAGGGCTTCACAGAGGGGAGGAGGAACAACAAGGTGGTAAAAAGACGAGAGGGGTGACAGAATAATGATTCGCAGATGTAAAAGAGACAGACAGACACAAAGGGAGAGAAATGGAAAGATGAGTTCTGCAGAGGGGGTCGAATATGACATTCAGTGGGGTCATGGTAGTTTGAAGTCAGAAGTCAACTACCGGTTAATAGACTTTTTTGCCGTATGAGAATACGTTGCTCAGGGTGCACCACGTGAAGGTAAGTCTATCCCACACCCCAACTTGAAAATATAAATACAAACATTGGTTCAATGGTATTATAGGGTAGGGGGTGGGACGTAATATGGGAGCCAGCCGTACACTGGAGGAAATTTTTAAGGTGTAAAAATGCTATTAGTTATGCAAGAGACATAGAAAAACACTTAAGTCACACGAAAATTTCTTAAGTATTAAGTAGATATTATTGGAAACCATTAGCAGTCTGCGAACGCTTACATTATAACTGATTCATTCAAAAAATGGCTTAAATATCAGAACTCATCAATAACGTTTCATTACCGCAGATACTAGCATTACTCAAAAATAATGAAGGCCAATGACGTTGGAATGAGCACATTATAACAGCCATTCAAATTTTAACGATAACTGGCAATAATTTGTTAATTTATCTCAACCTGGATAAAATTTCTCAGTTAATCCTTCAAATTAGAAACTAGCTGAAACAATAAGTTATTCTCTTCATTTTGAATCTTTCTATCGATTACGATTTAAATAGTGCATTGCATTAGCACGGACCAAATTTAGATTCCCTAACTCTACTATATTTTGCTTAAACGATTTTACATTAAATGATCACAATAAGAAGCAGAAACTTATGTCAAGTCATAGCGGTTAGAATTTTTCGTGTCAAATACAACTTGGACGAATCCTGATTTTCAGTATTGGTAGAACTGTCTTTTAAAATTTTCTTGGCTATTTCACATACTTTTTCCATTTTAAAATATAGTAACCAAGTCAAGATCAATTTTAATCTGTATCGCATGAGAGAAATCAACTTATCGATTGATGAAGTTAAATAAAAGATAAAAGAGAAGATCAATAAAACTGAATTGGAAGTAATATCTTAGCCTCAAATTTTTGTGACATAATTTGCCTTTCCTATTTACTTCAAAATTTAAAATTCCCCAACTTCGAGGCTTTTGGCAAGCAGGTCAATTGGGCCAGTCCGACCGTCGAATTTAGTCTAATCCTTCCTCATTACAACTGTGTGATTGAGATAGGCAGAAGATGCGTTTCAAAGATAAAATTAAGTCATATGGCCTGTTGAGCAAAGTGCATCACCTCATTCATTTAATTACCTCTTAAACTGTTATTAATAAATGCATATTCGATATTTTATCACTTATCTTAAAGACCTTAAATGAGTAGTAATTCAAATTTTCATTACGCTTATCATAATTTAGTCCTTATTTCATTGGCAAAATCATTTTTGTTTCTTTATAATTTAGTCCCTTGTGTGCAATTTAAGAACTGAAAACAATTTAATATTTTATTAAACTGATAATTCGAATTCATCGAACTGCGCAGCAGAATATCATTAAATGTATATTCTTCTACGGAAGTGATGAGGAGAGAAAACAAGAAAAGACCAGAACCTATGGGTAATTATTTTCAAACCGGCTTGCTGTAATGAATGCTATGTTAGGGTGGGAAGCAGATGAATTGTAATTCAGGACGAGGGAATTTGTTTTTTGCAGGTGATAGATTGAACAAATTTTTCTCAATTATTCTTTGCTTCCGTCTTCATCTAAAATGTAAATCATTAAAGTCAGTTAATATTTAGTTTGTATCCTCAAAATATTACAACTAATAAGCACAATTATAGTTGCATTCTGTCTTTACTACTGATTGGCAATTAGTAATATATGTACATGATCTATTACTGATGCTTCAAATGCTGCACTGAGGAAAACGTGGATGGAACAGACCTGTTCCGTAGTTTCAACCCCAACGTTGATAGCAAATGCCATGGATAATTCTTAGAGTGAAATTCCTAATTCTTTTCCAACTATCAACCTATTGATCAATTTTCAAAATAAAGGGATGTACAGATCTTCTTGTAGAATTTATGAAGGCAAATATTTTTACCTCTGCAATCAATATTAGCATTATTATTTTCTCACTCATAGAAACCATATTCAGGAAGATCTCACGTTTCCGATATTTAATTCTAACCCACAAGTTAAGGGCAATGAGCTCACACGGATTAACATCTCATTTTCTTGACTAAAATATAAAAAAAACCAATTTAAAATGACGGAAATCAATCTTTGAAGGTGCATAAATATTAACCAAATAACAATTGAGTAGAAAATAAAATAGCCTACATCTTTTAAAAGGGTAGCACTTGGTCTTTGAGATTATAACTGTAAGATTAATTGCGGAAAGGACGCATTGTTCATTCAATTTTAAGGATAATCAACGTTTTGTTAAGCAAAATGTGTGTTATAATGAAACGAAATCCAATGGGAGATAAACATATGAAAAACTTCAGAAATGTGGAAAATGCCATGGAGCGAAATAAATGAGAAAGTTGACGTTTCCGGCGGGTTTGACGTTGTTTCGTCAATTACTTACCCTCCTTGCCTAAAATGAAATTGGAATAATTCATATGCCACTATTAAATAAACACTTTTAAGGAAAATGCTTGCTTGAAAATCTTAAAGTGAGAAAATATTTTAAAAAGTGCCAGGCGGATGGATTAAATCAATGTCTTACAATTCAACCCAAGATACTCCCTTAATAATTTAATTATATAAGACAGCAAAACAGGTATCAGAATTCATTGTGAGAGTTTTTCTGTCAAAATATCTACCGCAAGACAAATACAATGAATTGGGGATGAAATTATTCAGTTTAATCTTCAATTAAAATAAAAGTGCAAGAATTTTCCTTAAGAAACCATCAAATCATGGGTATGAAGTTTGATATTCCATTGATAAGGTCGCAATGTGACGAAAAAAGCAGAGAGGGTCTCAAAAGGTATTTGAAAAGTTTCATCTCCATGACCCTATGGATCTATTCTTCACGCGTCTGAGGCCTCTTTAGAAGGTTTTTAAAGATCACTAATTGTAATTTTTCCTGCGACATAATTGTGTTTGATGGATAATAAAAAGTTGTGCTCAATAGAAGAATAGCAGTGATTTACTAAAAGAAGAGATTTTCTTGTTGAATGTTGGCTCGTAAGTATGCATTTCATCGCTTTTTACCTTCTCTAAGATGAAAGAAGGTACAGCTTGTTCAAAGTGTCATGAATATATTCAAATGTAGCAAATAATCAAGTGAACTTGAACTTTTCTAGTGTTTCAGAATATATATACCTCGTTTTTCCTAATTCAAATGACATTATTCATTGTACTGCTTTCTAGATTCTTGAATTTTAAAGACAAATGATGCCCAGTAAAGCCATAGTACACAAGGATATTGTTTCCTTACATAATTCTAACCTAACCGAGTTTAATGGGGCTCACTCATGACGAATTCTTATAATACTTAATATTTGTAATTTTAAAATATATTGTCAATGCCACTCCTAATTGCTCCAATCTGATAAAAAAATATTCAATTAAAAGTAGTGTTAAATCTGATATATAGCTTATCTTTTTCAACCTTCAAAAGTTTATTTTTATGCACTTATAAGCATTGGACGCTGAAAAAATCAAACTAACTTAATTTCAAAGTTTGAATGAATCTTCTATTTAATTAAATCCAAACTAAATTTACCATTTTCGGAGTACTGCTTTCATTCGTAAAAATTCTTCTTAGAAATTGAGGGGAATTTGAGTTCGTGACAATAGTATTTACTCTAATAAAGGTCAATAAAACGTAAAACATTTGGCATTAAGCCGACATGCATATTAAGGGAAAATGTGCCTGCGAAACTCTACAATTTTTGAAACCAACTTTCCAAATGCACAGTTACAAGTCACCACTTCGACACAAGCGCAACTGAAAAAACTGCTGCATCCAATTAGTAA